TTTTAAACGGTAACTGTAACGGAATACAGTTACTCATATTTTGTATTTTAAATACGTAACGGCGGTACATGTATTCCGTTACTCCCCAACACTGGGCATCAACCACAGTGAACTTGGTTCTCCCCCCCCCCCTTTGGAGCCACCAGTCCTCGGGGGAAAGGTGTATCCCCTGACCGGTCAGTGAGAGGCTTCTGGAGGTTGCTGGCTGTCATTAGTTGAAGTTGCACACAGGGTGCTGCTTGGAAAACGTCCCTGTGATTGCTTCGGTTGCTAGCGCTCAGCCATAGTTTGCATGAAAGCTGCAGACTTGTCTGCAAACACTCGCCAACGACTTGCTGATTGGTTAAACTCAAACAGACAATGTTCGCCTTCAAAGTAAAAGTTGTGAGTACTGCTACAACTACTTTGAAAAGTCACATTGCTGCATCTGCTTGTATTCTGCATGGAAGTGCACCAAAAACCAGAACTGCATGCAAAACACAAGCAGATGCAGCAACCAAAACAATCTCAAGGAAGTTTGTGGTGCAGCAGCCTTTGCAGCCAATTTCACCATCTTCCAGAAACCCAGTGACCAGAGGTTGATGGTGGTTGCAGAGTGGTCTCTATGCCTGCGTGACTGAGGCCTTGGGTAGGATAGAGTACAAAGCAGGCGAGACCTTTTCACCTGTGCACTGGGTGATCTGTTTTTATACTGTGTCCATATGCAAACAACCAAGACCAAGGTGACTATGACTGACAGGTGAGCAGACAGGTGTCACTGACTTCACATGTGCTAATGCCACTCAGTCAATCTGTGCTGCTTCTGTGTCTTTTGCAGGACTTTGATTAAATTACCTCATTACATCATTATATGTCGATAACCGCGGCGACACATCTCCTCCTCAAACCGAAAGCCTCAGTCGGAGTTTCACAACACTTTTTGATGTGGAGACTCATTAACGTCGCTCAGTAGGACGGAGAAAAATGGAAAGTCAAACACACAGACCTCTTCTGAGCCCCTAATTACAAGATCTAAACTGTCACTCATAATTGAAACACAACTAATGGACTCGCTAATAGGTTTCAGCTTAAATGTCATTAAAGCAGCTGATGTGGAGGCAGAGGGACGCGTGGGCGTTCAAAATTCATGCGTCCCGCGGCCATTAGCCCCGAGATTTATCCGACTGGTGAATTAATACAGGAAGCTATTTAAAGGCGCGCGGGGTGAGATATTCTAGGAAATGTTCATTAGTCTCTCCAGCATGTGGGGCTAATTAAAGCCCCGTCAGAAAGCATTTACTTTAGGCACAGCTCTGTGTGACTAACTGTGTCTCTGCATGGACACCAAACGGTAACCTACCTCGCCATGACCTCCAAGGTGTCCTTCCTATGGGCGGGGAGAGAGGAAAGGATCAAAATCAGGTATCTGCATGATAGGTGCAACGTAGGATTTAAATATCCTTTGACAAAGACTAAAAGTCAGAAGAGGACCAAAGCA